TAACATAGATTTCCCTGTTCATTTTATTCAAAACAGTGATAAACTGTATTTGGCCACATGGATTGATTAAACTCACTAATTAATTTTGCGGTTAATTGTGCTGTTATAGTAATTAATGATTTCGTTCCACCATGAAAGTTGTATCACTGTATCATGCATGAAAGAACTCATTAGCTAGAACTAAGCACCTATTTCATAAACAAAACATAGGAAGATTCCGAGTAACAAAATTTTACTGCAACGGAAAATATTTTGGTGAAGTCGTTAGAATATTGTTTGTCAGCAGTTCACAGAAATTCAAGGATAAAGTACAAGTAATAATATTTTATATAATATATATAATAATGGCTAAACTAATAATCTAAGGGTGGTGCGCACGAATCATAAAAATTTTAAAGCTAAATTAGTATGTTGCTGAAAATGTATAAACATTGCGACTTCAGGAATTCTGTATAATAATAATAACTTTTATTCAAATTGCTTTGCGGAAAAGGTCAAATTTACATAAGCCAAAGAAAAATATACATGACTAAATAAGAATGAAATAGGTGATAACAAGCTATAAAATATCTAGCAAAAAAGTATGTATGTCTAGAAGTATGAATAGTTAAATAGAAGAATAGAAAAAGTATGCAGCATAAATGTATAATGAGTAAAATAATCAATAAAATAGATAAATATGTAATTGTTAACTCTTGCAGAGAGTAAAAACGCTTGAGGTAGAAGTATGTCGTATGATCAAAGTTGTTTTTTGAAGACTTTTTTGTCGTTTATGGGTTTTAACTGGGAGGGAAAATTATTGAAGATAGATCCACATAGGTAGTCAGGGCTATTGTGGTATGTGCTGAGGCTATAGTTGTTATTATTCCTTAGATGGAATTTGGAAGGATATGCTTTCACACAAAGGCACGCCTCTAGAATTAGGAGCGTTATTATTTTTTTATTTTTAAATGTTTTTCGAAAAAACTCTAGAGAATTTCAGGGATAATAAGAGTCTGACTATTCTCTCGTAAAGGATAAATATTCGTTGGTCTCAACAGACGAATTTTCATCCACTATAACACCTAAAAATTTTATGTTTGGTACTCTTTCCAGTGACTTATTGTTTATTGTTGCTGTGAAGTTGTTCTGCGGAGTTCGTTTGTGATACAAGATGTATTTGGTATTATTTGTATTTTAGTAACCTATTTAACACTCATACTTTCGATAACTTGGTATTATAATGTTAGCCTTACTTTCTAGATCCTCCAGCGACTTTGCTGATACTGTTATAGTTGTGCCATCAGCAAAGGTTACCAAGAGACAATTATTATCAATTATGTGTTCATCTAACTCATTCACAAATAACAAAAACAGAAATGGTGATAGCACCCCACCTTGAGGGACTCCAAAGTTAATGTCACATGGATTATAGATACTGATACCCACCTTATATGATATGATATTTTCAACAATACATTATTCTTCAATCACACACGGCACAACTAAAGTCGCCAATTCCATCTATGTTTAGCAGCATACTGATTTAGTTTAGAATAATCTTGGTTGATGCTCGCCATCTAACCATATAAAGACTATTTTTTTGAAGAGAATAGAATATACCCCAAAAATGTTTATTAGGTTTTTTCAACAACTTGACATCTCTTGAAGTATAAGGAGTGAAAGTTAAAAGTTCGTTTCAAAACGGCACGGCGTCGCACACTCCACAGGCTCCAAATTTTATTCTCTGCAAAACAGGATGCTAGTTTTTATACTCTCAGATTGTTATTTTAGTCCATTATAATCGAAAATATCATTAGATGTAGCTGATGTATCCTTGAATTTCTGAATTTCGGATATTAGAGAATTTAATTCCATACAAAATTTTTTCGACTACTTTACTACATGGCTTATGATATATTTGATCTAACGTTTATCAACATTGTGCCCAATGTCCCACCCATGGCGCCAATTTGGATTTATCACTACAAATATTAAAACATTACATGTCCCCTGTCACAATAGTTATCAGAAAAATGTAAAAAAATGTAAGTCGTGTACTTTTCAAATAATAGGCTTTAAAAAAATCGGAAAATCGAAAAACCCCTATGATGATTTTCTAGTTCCCATTTCTACAAATTTCAATTTTTTCTTATACGGAGTGATGGACAGTGTCATTCTACGTAGTGACAGCAAGACAGATAGTAACGCCACTTTTATTAATTCATGATTGTGTAGTGCCACCAACGTACGGGAGTACGCCAACACGCACCTTATTTAAGGGGACTGTAGATGCAATGCTAGTGCTGCAACTAGGCTTTATCGTGAAAGATATGTACCCAAATGCTGCTTGTCATCCCGAACACCGAGTTTTTGTGCACCGTTTACTCTCAGACGGACAATGAAATCAAGCACATGGTGAAAGAAGAATTTCTTTCCCTTACGAGAACGTCGTACTACAAGTAGTCGGCGAAGATCCGAGTTGTTCAGTACGTCAAATAGAAGCAAGCACGGGAGCGCACAAAAGTACAGCTCCCGCAATCTTGCGAAAGAACGAGCTCCACCCGCATCACGTATAGCGAGTAAAATCTCTACAATCCCGGGATTATCTTCAAAGAGTTGAGTTTTGCCAAACAATGTTACAGAGACAGCGGGAAGGTCCACGATTTTTAGCAAACATTTTCTGAAGTCGACATTTAAGAAAGATGGTTACAATCTACACAACTTACACGAGTGGCATGTAGAAAATCCACATTTGATGAAACAAAATAGATCACAGTATCGTTCTAAGCATGTGGACAGGGATTCCAAATGGGAGAATCATTGTACCATTTGGGCTGCCAAAGTTTTTGAATGGCGAAACTTACAAAATCATTTACCAAATTTATTGGAAGACGTGCCACTAAGGACGATTCGCCTTTTTGATAACCCGATCATTTTTAAGAAGATGTCAACCTTGCATTGCTGCTGGAGGAAGCCAGCTTAAACATTTACTGAGAATTGCATAAATACATTCACGAATTATTAATAAAAGTGGCGTTACTATCTGTCTTGCTGACACTACGTAGAGTAACACTGTCCGTCAATCCGTCTGAGAAAACATCGACTTGAATTTTTTTATTATTCATTTATTTCTGATAACAAGTGACATATAAATCCGAACACCCAGTTTAAATGGTTTTATTTTAATAAAAGTTGGTGAATGTATTTATCTTACTATAAATAACAAGTGAAAAAATGTTCAGCCTTATCAGTTGGACATTCCGGTTTTTATACTGCTTTTTTTTAATTCACTAACGCTCTAAAAATGAATATTTCAGCCGCAGTAAAGAATCAACGTTGGCGGATTTTGGTTCTTGACATCCTTTACGATCGGTTACGATGCCTAGAGTACGGAGACCTGTACGATTTCGTCAACTTAGTGAGTTTGATAGGGGCCGTATAGTGGGACTTCGGGAAGCTGGACTTTCTTTTCGGGCAATTGCAGTTAGAGTGCAAAGAAGTGTAGACACTGTGGTTAGGTGTTGTGAGGCATGGCTTCGAGAAGACCGTACGCAAAGAGCAAGGGGCACTGGACGCCGCCGTAGAACAACAGACCGTGAAGATTATTGGCCTTAAGGTACCGTTTCTCCACTACCAGGTCCATTGCAAATGAATGGTTTGCAGAACACGGAAGACCTATGGGCATGCGAAGTGTTTACCGACGAATGAGAAGTTTTGGCTTGTTTTCATACCGGCCACACTGGGTCCTCCCTTTAACTCGAGAACACCGACGTAATCGCCTTGAGTGGTGCAGAAAACGGTCACTCTGGGATCAGGAATGGAACAGTATTGTCTTTAGTGACGAGTCTCGATATTGTTTAGGCATGCACGATGGTCGTGCCAGGGTTAGAAGGCGACGTGGTGAAAGGAGGAATCCACAATTTTTTGTTGAAAGACATGTTCATCACACTGTTGGAGTTATGGTTTGGGGTGCTATAGCTTATGGTTCCAGGTCACCTTTAATCTTCATCAGAGGTAACATGAACGCGCAGCGTTATATCCACGAAGTTCTAGAACACCATCTTTTACCCTATCGTGACACCCTGGCAGATCCAACTTTCCAACAAGATAATGCCCGACCACATGTTGCAAGAGTCACAATAGACTTCTTTCAACATAATGATGTCACATTGTTACCATGGCCACGAAGATCTCCCGACTTATCCCCAATTGAGCACGTGTGGGATATGATGGGTAGGAGATTGCTCAATTTGCAACGCCCTCCTCAGACTCTAGAAGCACTTCGAGAGGAGTTGGTGGTTGCCTGGAATGAGATACCACAGGAGAACATTTACTTATTATGCTTCATTAAATACTTATACAAAATTTTATTAAAATAAAACCATTTAAACTGGGTGTTCGGATTTATATGTCACTTAGTATATTATGACTTGGCCTATCCCCCGTTTCCGGCTTTCGTCGACTTCTGGAACACCCTGTACAGTAAAATATAATAATATAGTTCAACATTCCAAACTTTATCAAAACATCTAAACAGTACTTTAAAGCGTTAATGCTGTGTGTCTGTATGTACATATGCATATGCAGTTGATGTATTATAGCAGCTAGATATCATACATAAGAAACATACATTGAAATTGTTACGCCCCGCTTTTGTTGTCAAGGTTTAAAAAACTGATAATTAGAAGTAGAATACTTTTGCATCTCCTCTTTTTTGAAACTAGTTTAATGACAGGAAAATATATAACGACTAACTCATGATCCTCAACTATGGTAGGTGGTGGTTTCTATATTTTATAGTTTTTACCTATTGTAATTTTCTAATTTCTTGAGTAGTCCATCAATTGAATAGTAAACAACTTCAATACAACTAAATAATATTGCGACAAAATCGCAGTCGTACGTATACAAAATTTCGCATTTCTTGGAGTTTACCGAAAATATATTTTGTGTAAATATATGTTCACTAACTACATCCTAATTTTTATTTTATAAATTCTAGTTTATAATATACTTACCAATGGAAGATAGTAATCTTCATTCTTGCACTGATCAAAGTACCATCTTATAACCTCTTTACTAAGGACAATTTCTGTAATGATCCTTCTGCTTAAATTTTAGTGAACTGATTAGCGCGCATATCACATAGTGTCAAAGTCATCATCACCTTATTTAATTAGCACAGTTCGGTGTAAAAATACACTCATTTAACACCTATGTACACCTTGATAACAATAATAAATATTTCTTGATACCCTCGCCTTTGTACAAGCATCATTCAAATCGAATGCTTGATGCGAACACTGTATTTATAATTTTTACAGCAATACGTTTGGTGCAGCTTTTATTTTATTTTAATCGAACGTATTTTCGGATATAGGACAGTTTGTCTTGGGCACGTTATGATTCCAAATTCAATCATTTTCTTTCTTACGCCAAATGTTTTATTTTGAACATGTATGCAAGGGATTTATTATTTATGAAAATCTGGTCACTTCCGACAGTCTTTGTGACCAGGAAATCTCGAAAACGGGTACACGGAGCTTGAAGTATTCGGAGTGATATGTTATCTAAAGACATGTAAGTCATGAATAAATTCTCAAAACTTCTTTTTGTTATACGAGCTTTTGAAGATTTTTAAGCGCGACTCGAATCATTCCTTTGAAGTGTGGTGTCCTCAGTCTTCCGAGAAGGACTTCTTAGCTTGTAAGCATTACACTTTCTCATATTTTTTTACCTTGTCGTATTTTTTAGGCCTGATTAGCAAAGCCAATTGACGTACCGTTAGATGACAGCTAGACCGCTGACTGCCCGCCGGTGTGAAAGGGTCCCGACTGTCTGTTAAAGAAGAGTCATCGATCAGTCGGATAGCTCTCACCTGACCAACATCGAGCAGGGATAATGTATTCGGGGCGACAGCACCCCAAACATGTGAGCAGTACTCGAGGCTAGGTTCCATATTGGCCTTCTTAGCCCTAAACAAATAGCCTAGAATTTTCCCAGTAGCTACCGAGATGATTGACGAGATGTGGTCGTGCCAGATCAAGTCGTTGCTGATCTGGACTCCGACCAGCAGAACTGAACGGATCTTTGATAGAACCGGCAGAGCTATTACGTTATAAACCTATAACACGTCAGAGGAAAACCCGACAAAATGTCAATTTGCTGCCTAGAGAGTTCGTAGTGTGCAAATAGTACATTCCACGTTTGCTCGCTGTCAGCGCTGTGAGCGTCATCAAAAGCGTCCAACTATGGATCAATGACTCAGCGACCCTCAATGACCATGCTGCAAGCTGCAAGTTAGTTTCTCAAGGTGCTTTGTTGGTTGCAGAATGTCGAGCCTGTAGTGTGGTTCAGTAGCAGAGTAGCATCTGGATGACTGTGTGTATTGGGCTGCATGTGTATAAAATCAGTGATATTTGCTATGTGAGAAGATTATAACTGAATATGCTGCCCATGAAATATATCTAGGGTGTGCCAGACGAGTTATTTGTGTTGTCCTTTCTGAAGAGATGTTATGTTCAAAGTCATACATTACGATTTTTTGCGTATTCAAAAACTTTGAGAAGCATTACGGGAAATTAACACCGCACCCGCGTTGTATATGTATAATCAAGCCACAACACAGAAACATTAGGAATGACGCATCACATACAACACATTTTCGAAGTGCTTCACATGCGTATACCCTATTTCACGAGTATCCATCACGCTTTCACGTGTACTGAGGTGAACAGCTGATCAGTAAGTGACATTTTTGTGTTAGTGAGCAACGTTGGCAATCATGCATGGGGTATAAATCTAGTAAAACTTGTTTGTGACGTTTTGTTTTTTGTATGCAAATGAACTTTTCTAAATAAAAGTACAAAATGAATCTGTAGCGTACAAAAAACCAAAACAAAATATGGCTCTGACCGCCTGGCGTTGATGGATCCATCAGAATTATGTGTCCTGCGCCGATATGGAGAATTTGTAAATATAACTAGATAATCAGCTGTCATTCTACCGTGATGGATACTCGTGAAATGGGTATAGGCGCTGATTTATATTTTATACTTGACACCGTAAAATGAATTCCAATAACATTTAAATGACAGGAAAAAACATAATGTGAAATGTAATCACTTTTTATGTTTCATAAATATTCCTGTATGTACCCTAGTTTCTCAACTGTTAGTTGTAATATACTTCACCAATCAGGGATTTCTTTTTATATCGCTCTATTTTTTGTAATTCAGCATATTTCCATATTTAATTCCCAAGTTGAATAAGAAAAAGCGGATGCGGAATTAATTTTCTAGAAAGTGTATTTGAGACTAGAAACCAATGGAATTATGATCAACGCAGATTATTAGCACACAAATCCTCACTATGCACATATACACGGCCGTTTCCTTTCAGTTATAGTATACAACTTACAGCTTAGACCTCCAATAATGCCATCTCTGAAGCAGATGTTACAGGTACATCACATCAGAGCCAAATATTGATAGTTGAAGCATCATGATTTTCGTACAACTACGGAACGAGTACACGTCAAGTGCACAACATCTAGTGCTAAGTTGAAATTTTGAAGAAAAACCTACATAATGTTACAAAAAACTTATACAATATGAAAAGAAACCGGCATAATTTCACTTTTCAAGATACGTAATAACCCTGCCGGCCATCCCTTGAAACTAGATATGCGCCAGTGCGCTTTGTCACAACTATATTAGCATATAGAACATAGGTATTTGGCTACAGCGCCATCTATGTAGATTTTTAATTAGTGTGGAGAGGAGTAACATAGATGTGGCAAATTCTCATTTAACCTTAGCTAATTTTGCGCGGGAATATAGTATTACATAGGCTATCTATTTTCATATAGAATACGATAATCAATGTTGTAAGTAATCTATATAAATTGTGCAAAATTGTATGAAAAACATGTATTAATTTTTATTTCAAATACGAAGTATCGACCCAGTTCCCATAACCTCGTTTCCAAGAACTTCAAAGAACGAGTTCCTGTGCAGGATTATCTTAAAAATATCTATAGCGTGCTGGAATTGCTTGCTTTCATCTGTAAGCTGATATTCTGGGAAAATCCGAGGCTTACGCTTAAATGTGATATTAAAAACTAATAAATGTGAGCGAGGAGACGAGGTAAATCAGCATAGATGTATCGTAATGGGAAATATGTCGAATTAAAGATACTTATTTCATTTTCTTAACACTTTGTAGCATGCAATATCATGCAGAGACGGATCTAAGAAGAGGCGCACGACGCACTGTGCATAGAGCCCGGGACTGAAGGAGTCCCGGAAGGAAGTTTATGGGGACGCCAATGAATTTTTCTAAAACCATGGTGCTCCAGTATAACTTTGCAGGTGCAGGAATGTTGGTGTGATAGAAAACATTAAACCTTCGTCCTTAGGCTGTTTTAGAGCTCCCGTTCGTTACAAAAAAAATTAAATTCATTTCCGTCTTATGAATGGTATAGTAGTATAATAGTTCATGAGCTTATTAACTCCATATTTTAAATTTAAATCTCTTTCAGAATTGCTACCTTTGCATCTTATTAAGTTATTGAAGGATATAATTTTATAGTTATCGGCATAGATTTGAAAGTGGTGGATTTAAGGGATTTTTGAAAGCTCGCAGATTATGAGAATTGTTGAAAGTTTTCAAACTTTATCTGGCTCAACTAAGCTCAAACAGTGCCACTCTGAATATATTTTTATTTCTAAACTGACATGTTTAGTTGCACCATACGCTGCGTCACATACTTGACAACAAATTTTAGCCCATATAACAACAATCGCATCAAAGCAATTCGACTCGTTCGTTGGAGGAATAACTACGATAATTGAATCGGTCATTTCAAAATCACCTAGGTCAAGATTTTTTCAAAATGCTTTTTTTGCTGGAAACGCTTTCTGCGACTTCGGGCGTATTCATATTCCTTTCCCTTCAGATTATCCCACTTAATACATATTTATTGCATAAACAACGTAAGTCACTTGACTTTTATGTTGTTTTTGCACTACTCGTCAGCGGGTACTCGTCGTTTCAAGAACAGTACCCGGACCTTTGATGGAGTGTCCCTGTAATTGTTTTGTTTTTCGAATCTGATTTATATGACATTCAGCACAAACTCAAAAACACCTCAGTATCACATTCAAAATGAGCTCGCACTGATCGTAGCGACACTTGACATAACTCTTTTTGTAACCAAATTTTCTAAATAAGGCGCCAAGTATTTCCTTTCAAGTAGCACACAGGAGCGAGATGTCATTTTTCGACATCGTTAGATCGAACTATCCAATTCGATCTACATACATTAACCATATATTTGTTTCATGCTTGCAACAAATTAAGATAGCAAGTTTCGGTGTGAATACTGTGTTTATGCATTGATTAACATTCTCCTTGTTGAATCACCCTAATTAACAATTGAGAAAATTTGCGAACGCATCCTCCCAGCCCCATCTCTAGTATTTGTTTTCCCCCTCTACTATTGACAGTTGATACATTTGTAGTGCTGCCAAGCTAATAATACTAAATATTAATATGTATGAACACACAAATGTTTGTAATTTCAACACATAGTAGTTGAACCTAACAACATTTACTTTCAATTCAAAATGGGGTGTAATACGATCAATCTAACGTTTATTTTGTGGGTGTACAGCAATTTAATCGACAATCGACACGTTCATGCATTTTTTTAAATATATCTTTTTTTCTAAAATTATCTCGATCAGGTAAGTAATACACTGTTCTCTTCAATAAAGTTCTCTGTAATTGAGGTCACATATCAGATCCATTTACTAGGAACGTGCCTTCTCATTGGTTCATTTTGATCGGGATCAAGAATTTTGATCTCCTGTTAGTAAAATCGGGCCTACGAGGAGTTATAAATATATCGCAATGACAGCTAACTCTATGCACAGATGACTCGACCAAAACGTTTATTAGTAGATGGTTAAAAGTAACATAATTGCGCAAAGAAAATGGAGGTACATTAATATTAATTGGCGCTAAGATATCTGGGGAGTATATCATGCCATATAACAGTTTGAAAAGATGAACCCTTTCTTCTTAATGAATTTCAAAATTCCCACACTGCTCTGCATTGCTAACTCCTTGCTCGGGATGAACTCCTTCAGACTTATAAAGAAATTTAAGGAACACCTGGTTTGAACCGTTTTAATTTCGTTTCTATAAATTTGGTAATACGAGCTTTATAAAATTCTCGCATATTTAAGTTTGCTACGTGCATACGCAAAATATAATAAATACCTTCAACGCCCTTATGTCGTGATATTGTCTACAATTCTTGACAAGGAAACCGTATGACTTCTAGAACTTTTTGAGGAAAACGAGTAAGTGTCAATCTTTGATCATAAAGAACACCCACATCTGTGATTGTGTCACATCTATCCAACAAGGCACCATTAATATTATAGTTGAAAATATGAAGGGTTTTGTCCTACTATAACTAACAACCTTGATGTTTTTTTTATTTAGATGTAAATTGTTGACATTATCCGAATATTATTCAACTCTATCTGTAAATCCGAAC